TGGCTGCGGGCCCAGGCAGGAGGGCGCTGGGCCAGGGCCCCTCTCCACCCTGCTCCCCACCAACTCACGTTGCGGGGCAAGGAGCAGACAAAGGCCATGAGGAGGGCGACCAGACGTCTCTGTGCCTCCAAGCACTCCCCATCCTGCGGGGGAAGAATGGCGCCCACGTCATCACAGTCCTTGCTGCCGGCCTGTGCCAACATCCTCATTCCCTGCCCCTGTTCTGGCACCCCAGCCCCAAGCACCCAACGCACCTCGAAGGGCTGGAAGGAGCAGGGAAAACTGTTCTGGGGCAGGAAGGAGACCTCTCCATCCAGGAAGAGGGGCACCACGTGTGACACGCTCTGGGCAGCCAGCCTAGGAGGAAGGAGACATTGCAGTGTGCTGCGCTGGGAGGGTCCCTGGAGAGCTCCTGGGCAGCTCCTGGTAGGCGCAGGGTCCCCTGGAACAGATGGCAGCGGGGTGGGGAGGGGGACACAGCCTGCCCCTCCCCGGGGTGCAGTGCCCGGCGGCCACCCCAGCATCACTCACTCAGGGCTCAGGTGAGTGGTGGCAGCACTGATGACGGGGACCATGGCAGCCAGCACCTCCTCCTCCAGCAGAGCCTTGCCCAGCAGCGGGTGGGTGCTCTCTGCAGGCAGTGGGAGGAAAGGGACGCGCTAGAGCCCGCTGCGCAGAGCGGGGAGGCAGGCACAGCCCTCAACCTGCACCAACCCTGGGGCAGGGCTGCAGGACCAGGGAGCCCGGGAGCTGCCGGCTCTCCCTTCTTCTGCTCCAGCCCCGCACCTACCTTGCGCAGCAGCCTGCACGGCCATGGCCAGCAGGCAGGGGGGCCCCGGCCCGGCCAGGGCCGGCAGGCAGGGCACCACGGTCCGGTGGTAGTACCAGCAGCCTTCTGCATCCTGCTGGCACTGCAGGGCCACGTGGTGCAGGCTCTGGCACACGGAGACCACATCCTGGGTGTTCCCGGCCTCACTCCCTGTGGGGCACAGTCACCGTTACATCAAATCGCCACTGCACCGACCCGCCTCATCTGGCCGGGATCCCGGGGCCATGCAGCCCTCCCTACACCCCCTCCAGCGGTGGGATTCACAACCCAGCCCCGGGCTCCTCGCCCCACTGCCATCCCCACTCTTTCACAGTCATCACCAGCACCAGCGGCACGGCCGTGCTCCACGGAGCTGCCTCCTGTGGGCTGCGTTACCTTTCTGCGCCTTCCGGAGATGCTGCAGCAGGACAGGGACAGTCTCCCTCACGATGCTGGTGTGGGTGGACACGGCTGCCAGGGCCCGCAGGCAGCGCTGCTGCAGGAGGCAGCGGTCACGGGAGCTCTCCTCCTCCCACTCTGAAGAGGAAACACACCTCAGAGGGGTGCTGGGGTGACCCCAGGCCCCCCTGCCTGAGGGCTTTCAGGGTCCAGACCCTGCCAGGTGGACGGGACGAAGCAGCACAGCAGAGCTACCCCGTGCCAGGCCCACGGTCCCCTGCCAGCCCTGTGGCTGGGCAGCTCCTCCCCACAAGGCTGATCCTGGCCGCACAGGCTGGCTGCCAGCACCGGGCACAGCCCTACCTGTGCCAGCTCCGCAGCGCCTGCGCTGGGAACCCTGCCCGGGGAGCACCAACCTATGCCATCGGGCACAGCCCCACTGCCTGGTAGGAGCCAATGGGGACAGGACAGGCTTCACCTCGAAACCAGACATCGCTCCCTTCCCAAGGCCGCCAGCCCTACCTGACTGCAGCTCCTCTTCAAGCCTGGGTACCATGCGTCCAGAGAAAACCTCTGGGTAGACAGGGGCCAGAGATCCGGCTGCTTCCATCGCTGCTTCGCTGCCAGCGGGGAAGAGAGTGGGAGGGGGGAAGCGAGCACTGCAAACCAGGGGCTGCTTGTACACCCGCTGCACAGATCTGGGCCAGAAGGTGCCTCCAGAAACCCATTTCTCAGCAATCTGTCTTTTTCACCCTACCGGCAGGCAGAGCAGTGCCCTTTGCTTTGACAGGCCCAGACTTCCTAATTTCCAGCCCATAAATCTCCTGGTTTATCCCTTTGCTCTCACACCCACATGGTCTGTTAGCTCAGGCAGCTCCCGTGCCTTCCTCCAGAGCACAGCCCCTCCCTGCAGCAAAGCCAGGCTTTGTTCCTCTCCCCAGAGCGTGGGTGACTGCAGTGGCACCAGCCACCCCTCACCTGCTCTGGGAATCCTCCTCACGCAGAGCGAGACGGATGAGGTGATCCACAACCAGCTCCAGGTCAGAAGGAGACAGGAAGCCTGGAACAAGAGCCGTAGAGGAATCCTGCCCTCGGCCAAAGGCAAAGATGCCGGTGTTCCGGCCAGCACCTTTCCCCCTCACCCAGGCTAGCAGCAATGCAGCAGCATGCCAAACACCAGAGGTACAAGGTGCGCAGCACACACAGGCAAGAGAGAGACCAAGTGTCCCTGGAGCTCATGGCCTGGGTAGAAAACGCTGTCACTGCTGCTGTGCACCTACAGGCAGCAGGCAAGGACGTCCCAGCAGCCACGTGGCACCGTGCCTCCCAGAACCAGGGGACACCTGCCTCTGCCATCCCAAGGGAAACAAGGCACCAACCTTGCAGGGAGCCCAGGACAGTCAGCGCCCTGATCCCGACCAGCTGCAGCTGCACGCTGGGATCCGTCAGTGCCGAGAACACCACAGAGCAAACCTGGGCTCGAAGCGACAGCAGGGTGCTCTCATCTGGAGAGAGAGGCACGGAGTCACCGCCTGCATCTGGCTGTCACCACACAGCCTCCACCACAGCACCCGACAGACCCTTTCTGGGGCCCTGCTGGTTGACACCCAGCCACGCAGGGTCCCTGGGACAGGGCACATGCAGCCGCCCGGGTCAGTGAGCTTCCCTTCTCTGTCAGCATCTGGGAAGGGGAGGTCAGAGCCAGCAGCCCCCCGGGACACGGGTGCCTCCAGAGGGACCAGCCAGCCTCACCTTCTTCCACAGGTCCCCACTTCTGCTGCAACTCCAGGAAGCCCAGCAGCATTTCCAAGATTGTCCTCCTCTGGCTGCTCTGTAGGGACACAAAGGCGTAACCCAGACCACCGTCACTGCTGGGACACAGCTACACCTCAGCCCAGCACTGCAAGGCCAGAGGGTGCCCACGGGGTCCCCACCTGCAGCCAGGAAGGACACCCAGTCGGACACCCTGCTCCCACCATGCCCTGCAGAGCCAGCGGGTGCGCTCGGCCCTGCCGCCTGTGACCGCAGAGCCCGGGGTGCCCCTCACCTGTGGGTGCTTGGTGTACTGCTCCAGCAGCAGGGGCAGGACGCTGCCGGTGACACGGTGGTACGCGCGGAGGGACGCGCCCGCTGCTGCCTGCAGGAGTTTGGCGCTTGGCCACACCAGCTTCATGTCGGGCTCGCAGAGATGGTGCCTGCAATCTGAGATAGGCTGGGCGTCAGCGGCACCAGCAGAGCCCCTCTGCCTCCCGCGCGGGGACGCAGCTGGTATCTAGCTGCTCTAGGTGAACCTGGTTTGGCAGGGAGGTTGGACTAGATGGTCACCAGAGGTCCCTTCCAACCCCAACCGTTCCGTGATTCTGTGATCTGGGCTGGGACGTGCTGCCAGGCCGCAGCTCTGAGCTGCAGCACAGCCTCCCTGACAGAGCTGCTTTGCCCTGCAAGCCCACAGCACAGCCTTGGATGCCCCAGTCTCAGCAGAGAGGAAACCAACTCAATCCAATAGGCATTTCCTACTGTGCCCCCTCCTCCTCCCTTCCCGCAGCCAGTTCCCTTGGAGAAGCCAACAGTGGCTGTGAGAGCTAGAGAGAGAAGAAAGAGGCTTCAGACAGAACAGGAGGGCAGATCTCTAGCTAGGAGCATACTTGCAGGCCCAGGGCAGGGTAGGTCTCTCTGCTAGCTACCTTGCAGGATGCTGCTGAGGAAGGAGTCCAGCAGGTCCTCGGCGTCAGAGCTGAGCACAGAGCGGGAGAGGCAGGCAGAGAGGGCATGCAGTGTGGCCAGGCACTCCGCCTCGACCTTCTCACTCGCTGTCTGGAACACCTGCAGGAGAGGCCAGAGGATGAGCTAAGCTCTGTGCTGACCCCAACTGCTGCCTTCGTGCTCCCAACGCGGGCTGAAGGGCCCTGGCTCCCACCTCGCCTCCCACATGTTTCGAACATGCAGTGTGGCACATTCAAGCCCCAGAGATGCGCTGACAGCGCTGGCCTGTCCCCCCACTTTTTAGCCGGGGCTGTCCAAGGCCACAGGCAGGGGCTGCTGGGAGATATGGGCCCTGCCTGGTCTGGCTGTGAACTCCTTCTCAGCAGGAGCCCAACTGTGATGGAGCATTTGTTAGGCGCCCTGCAGAACTCACCTCCCTGCGCAGGGATGACCAGAGGCTGGGGAGGAATTCCTGCAGCTCCTTCTGCCCGTAGATGGCACAGCAGGCAGTCTGCAAGAGGGAGCCAGGAGAAAGCATCAGAGAGAAGCCAGTACCAAGCGGACACAGAGCAGGGACACTGCCCATCCTGGCAGGCTCATGCTAGACTGCACGAATCACTCCAGGGAGACAAAAAGAAGGAAAAGTGATGCAGGCCAAACTAGGACCCTGGAAATTGTGTCTCTACAAGGGAGAGTCTCTGGTTGGCAGGCAGAAGGGCTCAGAGGTGGTTGACTGCTGCTACCACCGGCCAGCTGTGGGCTGAAGGGAGCAGGGGATCCCTCCTTACCAGAGTCTGCAAGGAGTCCAGCTTGGCACTTTGCAGGTCTGAGTCCATCTTCTCAATGAGCAGAGGGAGCAGGAACTGCAGAGAGAAGCACCTACACTCAGCCCACCCTTTGCACCACCTTGTCCATGGCTCTGCAGGGCTGCAAGCTCAGCCCCTGCCAAGAGAGCAGAGATGGAGCAGTACCTGCAGCAGGCAGCCCCTTCCCAGGGTGTCAGCGTCAGCACCCTCCCCTTGCCCAGCCCCAGCAGCAGACAGGACTGCCCAAGTGCAGGCTCCTGGTCCCAGTTGTTCCCTTCCCACAGAGCCACAGCGGAGCTGAAGCACTGCGAAATGCAGCTGGTGCTCAGGGAACGCTGGGGTGCTCAAAAACCCCCTAGGAGCTTCCTACCTCAGCAAACTGGGGTGTGGAGGCCAGTACGGTCCTGAGGCTCAGGATCAGGTCTTCTCTCTGGATGCCGTGAGGGTCATTGGGGGGCTGGAAGGGAAGCAGAGAGCAGGTCACCGGTCAGGAAACCTCCTCACCCAGCCACCAGCCAAGGCTGCACCACCTCATCTCCAGCAAGGCAGCAGCAATGCCAGTCACTGCAGCCAGCCTGGCACCGGCTGTCAGTCTGGGTGCCATAGCTCACAGCCAAACACTGCCCAGTCAAGACTCTTGCCCACCCCCTTCCCCCATCTCCTCGAGGGGACACAACCCCCTGAGAAAACACCAGAAGGAATAGGCTGGGGCACAGGGCAGACTCACTCACTGGAGTAAAGTCAATGGGGAAGTAGCAGGACGTCACTTCAAACAGCTCTTCCACAAAGGGACCTGCAAGGAAGGGACAGAGGACGTGAGCAGCAATGGTAGGCAAAAGAGGCACAGCAGCTATGCCTCGCACCCATGACAGGCTGGTTCTGCAGCTCCTAAAGCATGTCAGGGACAACGCCAGGTCTGGTCAGACCCAAGGGCCGTCCCTCCAACAGCTCCCAGAAAAGCAACATGTTCCCCTGTCAGCTCTGCACAGCAGGCACAGGCTCACCCAGGGCGTAGTTCTTGGCAATGAGATCACGCACGATCTGGAAGGCCACCAGCAGGTTGCGGGGATCCTTCTCCCCATCCATCACCTGGATGAAGCCGAAGGTGAAGTCGGCACCCAGGCCCTTCAGCTCTGCAGAAAGAAGGAGCATGAGCAGATGCAGGACACCAGACCTCATCAACATGGCACGAGATCAGCCCAGTTTCCCCAGCCCCGCAGCCCTTCCAGCTCCCCCCAGGCAAAGCAAGAGCCTTCAGAAAAAGCGAAAGCCAGCCATTCTCCCAGCCTGGACAACCCCAGAGTGGTTCTGGCATCTACCCCCTCACCTTCCTCCCTGGTGCCCATGAAGTTGGTGATGATGCAGTAGACGGTGTGGCGGTCCAGCTGCAGCAGGGACTGGAGGGAGGAGCAGAGCAATCAAAATAAACCTCCACACACAGCATGATAGCTACCCCCCACCCAAGGGCAGGACCCCCAGCAGCTCAGCTGCTGCTTCCTGGCACGAAGATCCTATTTCCCACATGGCAGGTGTGCACATGCCTATACGATGGCACCTGGACATGACTGTGTCCATCACTGCACGGACGCTCCATCACAGACACATCAGGGCCACACATGCTGCCTAAGGCCCTGCCAGCATAAACAATCTTAAACCGGAGGATGATTTGCAGGCTGGGGTCACTTTAACACAGCCTGGGGAACAGGGCAAAGGAAATAACTCCCCCAGGGCTGAGAGAAGAGAGAACAAGGGCCAAACAGGATCCTCAGTGGCTGTCTGCCTCTCGGTCTGCAGCGAGACACGCTGTCCCTAAGCTCTGCAGTAGCACTGCACTGCTGCTGCTGAAGGATGCGCTATGCTGCACTGCTACCGAACGTGCTCAGGCCTCAGGGCAGGCAGGCCCAGACACCCGGAGAGCAGGGACAGCAGGACGGGAAATCGCACTGCTCACCTGCACGTGCACCTCCTGGAAGATGGCCTTGAGCACAGACACCGCTAGCCCCGGGGACAGCACCTCACACATGCTCTGGGGACAGGAAAAGAAAAGCAAGAACAGAAAACCACGATGACAGACATAAAACAGAGCTCCTGCCCCCTGTACAGCATCCACCTGTGGGATCCTCTCCTACCCTGGGGAGAGCTCACCACCCCCACAGAGAGGACAGGACACCTCTCACGTACACTGCTCCCCAAGGTGGGCAGGGAGGGAATCCTTGCCCCATTGCCAGCACGGGGCAGGAGATCAAGGCAGCCTCCTCTCTCCTGCCCATCTGCAAAGGGCACAACAGGAGCACTGAGGAGATAGGGCAAAGCCACCGGGCAGGAGCTGGAAGCCCAGCTGGGCCCTGCTTAACATGCTGCTCCAACCTATACCCAGGTGTTGCACCTTCCTGGCACCGCTCTGCAGCACATCCCAGGGCTGGGGGGCGCGAGCTCACCAGCGCTCGGAGTCCCTGGAGCACCGAGGGGATCACGACATGATGATCTTGCAGCCGATTCTCATAGAACAGGACCAGATGCAGCACTGTCAGAAACAGACACCAGCGTGTGTTAGTCTCAGGAAACACAGCTGCTGGGCGCC